CTTGTAATAGTAATGAAATAAGTTGTTGAATCAATATCTTTTATTTTGAATCAATATCTTTTATTTAAATTAGGTTGTTGATTTTTTTTAAACAGAATGTCTCTTTATATGATTTCTTTGGGTTTATTAACAAGTCAATGTTGTGTTGTTGAGCTGAGAGACAGTGGTGTGAGGCTTTTTGACACAAATAAAATAAAATAAATAAGATATATGCCGCTTTTGTTTCAATAACTGGCGATAAATCTTCCGCACTAAACCGTAAAGGTTGATAATGTCCAAATGTCAGAGGATTAAAACTATGCAAAAAAAATTGTAGAAGTTCGTTCTTTTATAATTTTTTAATAAATTACTTTATTTTCCATTTCCTGTCATTTCTCGGGCCACTGATATTTAAAGGGGGTAAATTTGTAATGTGCAAAAAACAAAAAAATTACGATTAAATTTGAAAACTTGCAGGAGACCTCTGCCTCTGAGTTTGATACTGATCTTAAACTAAGCGATATGTTGGTAATGAAATAGGCCTACTAGATATGGATAGTTTACGATGTTGACACTGCCTGACCTTTGCCGCCCCACCCCCCCCCCCCCCCCCCTTCTTTCGTTTCGCATGGCCCTGTTCACACAAGCCAGAATTTGGGGCCATTTTATATTGGCCACCCATTTTATTTCAGGGAATTCTGCTTTGCGGTAGTTTCAGATTTAGGCCTATTATTGCCTGTTTCAAGTGTGTCTCTTGTTGGGATTGGGCTGACCTGCATGCAGCTGCTGAGCCGATGTCATCTGTAGCCTACATATTTCAAAAGCTTCTGAAAAAAAAATGCTGCAACTGAGTGTTTTCAAACATCTACATTAGATTTTTCCGTTGATGAGGCTGGCAACCGAACCAGAATATTTCTTAAAGTAACATTCAGATGCTATATATTTCATTCCCTATCACACAAAATAATCATCCAAGTATATATGTATGGCTGTGACGCTTTGTTCAATAGGTGCGCTAAATAAAATTCCAAGAATGTAGGCTATAACTAATTGGGATTTCTTTAAGATAAAATAAGATAAGACTCCTGCAGTCTGTCCAATCTCATTCAGATATAGAGAAAACATTCGGAAATTCCGTTTGGCAAATATCTCAACAGCTGTTAGTTACTTCAACGTTAATGTGAGCCAAAATAATGGGTCTTAACCTAGACGAAAACGTGTTTACAACTGTTGACTATATTTTACGAAAGATTTTACAAAGTGTTACTGATTGATATATATTTTGATATAGATACATAATATATATATATATATATATATATATATATATATTTATATATATTTATATATATATATATATA